ATTTGAACTTTAAAAAACATTATAGAAAACTCTGTTTCTTCAGTTGCTTATTATGTCCAACTCTCTAGTTTCCCAATTTGGCTAAGACAGCTCTAAATCAATGGAAAGATTCCTCTTGCCACATGAATAAAAATTCTTAATTTATTTTAATTAAAAAAAATGAAATGCCGTTGCCCAGTTTTTTAATTAGCTCTTCAATCTTAGTTGCTTCCTCTTGCCTCACCCAGAAACTGCATGCACAATTTCCACATTAAATGCCTATGACCTTTTTCAGAATTCAGTTTGGAACCAAAGAGTTTATATTTCCACTACTATCATATCTAGCTTTCTTTTCTTAGCAGCCCAATTCAAATTTCTTAGCAAGATTTTGAGCAACCCTAATCAGTTCCTCGTAAGGAAGATACAAATGTAATTACTAAATAAAGCGATTCTACTTCTCTTGGGGAGTAAAGCTTGCCTCTCTAGTACTTGGTTCTCTAGTACTTGTTTGGAGGTGTGAGTTTTGACAGTGCCAACCTTTTCAACCTTGTGTTTGATTCAAGTGGTAAATGAAGATCACAAGAAGAGAGTATGGACCAGACGCTAGACATCTTTAACCACTACAATATTCACAAAATAAAATTTAATTATAAAAAACAGGTAAAGACAAAATACAGATGAAGGACAGGGATCCATGGCCCAGGTTTCATGTGTACATTTTGGAGACCTGTCCTTTTATTGACAGAAAAGCATATCCTTCAAATGTCATGGGGAGGAGGCCTCAAGTGCCAAGGTCAGTGACAATCCATGAACCTTCTTTTCTAGCACTTCTGAACATATCTTCTCCAACTGCTCTGTAGACATTTTTCCCATCATATTTCTTGCCAATCTTTACCTCTCCTCACTCTGCTTCAATCTCTCAATATAAGAACCTGCATTTCTCACAGTTACACCCATCTGCTTCAATCTGTTCTCTTGTTGAATGCTCAAAGCTGTATTTGACTGTCAACAAGGAAGGAACCCAGTTAATAACTCTGGTGAAACATTTAATCCCAAACACTTGTTAATCCACTCTTGTCATGGTTTTATACCTCAAGAAATTCTGCTCCAGCTTGAAGTTCAGATTCTTTAGAAGGATGCATCTCAGAACCTGTGACGTATAAGTTTTTAGCAAGGGAGAAGCTTCTGATTATCAATTTTCTTTTCTTCTCCATTTCTTGATTGAGATTGAGAGGCTTCGGCACAGACGTTGTGCTATTAAGCTTCTTCTGATAAGCAATTACTGCTTTAACAAATTCCTGCAACAATTTTTCATCGAAATCAATCAGCAACATACTGCTGCATAATCCTTCACATCAAAACAGTATCTTTGTAAGCCATCAAAGAATCAATATGATACCTGATAAGCAGATGGGCATCCTGGATAATCAAATTCATCAGAATCCGGCCGCCTCATTTTGTCAGGATGGAATTGCAGACCCATGATAAACTTACCCTCTTCTGGATTATAAGCATCTGGATCATAGAACCCTTCAATAAGACCATCTGGTTCAAAAGCCATTGGAACGAAACGTTGAGCTAATCTCTTAACACCTTGATGGTGATAACTATTAACCCAAATCTCCATTTTCTCTTCCTACAGAGAATCATTAAACCAATTATGCAAAGGGGTATTCTCTACCACCTTCACCTCATGCCTATGCCCATCATAATTATCATAATCAATGTGCATTACCCTCTGATTTTCCGACAACTTTTCCGACAGTTCTTTCCCGATATCTTGATAAAGGGTTCCTCCACATGCAACATTTAAAACTTGGGAACCCCTGCAAAATTGCCAAATAGGGGATGTTCCTCTCGAGGCAAAGCTTCGCCAGGCTCAACTCGATTGAATCCTTTTCTCTATTAATGGCAGTATCGCCGGCATGCAAGCTCCTGATTTCTTCCAATTCCTCCGGCAAAAGGCCGGATAGTTCCGCCTCATACAGAGATGGGTCAATGTCTTCCACTTCACAGAGGAGAACCCCATGAATCGGCTTGAAACTGTTCAACAACATATGCACCCCGCTGACTCGGGGAACAATAACGGGTACAGCTCCATACCCAACTATAGGATCGAGATGATATTTCA